ATCATACCTGCTCTTAAAACTACGTGTGGAGTCTGCCGCCCCCACTTCATCGAAGTCATTCCACATCCTGACCACCCTGAGATTGAAAAAATACTACCCAACATCCTCGTGGCTCATCTCTGCCTAAATTCCAGCTATGCCCTAGTGTACTCGTTTTTCGCCTCTCAAACAGCCAGTCTCTGTCTACCCTACCGTTTCCTAAGAATTTTGTATATTACGTCTCATGTAATCAGCTTTATGATCACTAACACTATCCTTAACTGTCCATTTACTGAAGAATATAGACAGTTTAAAACCTACAGTATGTGATATGTTAATGAAAATAAGATACCAGATATATTAAGCAAATATCCTGAATATGTTTACAGCAGTTATCAGTTGTAGATATAAACCCAGAAGTATGCCTGTTAATCTTTTTGGGACCTGGTTCCTACGTAGGCTTTTTTTTTTTGTGTATCCATATATGTATTCTTGTGCTACAGTTCACATGATGGAAATGGAGTGCACAATAAGAGCAGCTTTGGCGGCAAAATCTAAATCTGCCTTCTAAATCTAAATCAGTCTTCTAACGCTGTTATTCATTTCCACTGGTATGCTCGTCGCATACTACTGCACTTTCTCCAGTTTGATGATATGCTTTTTGAAGTGTGGGTTCCATACTTGAAGACGATGCTGACATATGATGTATAAAGAGCCAAGAATGACAGATTCCTGAAGCCTACTCTTAGATTTACCAGACAAGTATTAGCGCAAGAGGTTATTCTGATAAGAGCCTCTGGTGTTCCAGATGTCCGAGTGAGGTCTACAGCTTTTCCAAAGTTTATACTTCACTTCCGGTCTTGTGTACATGTGCAAGTGTGTGCATATGTATGCTTATCTGTATACAAGTACACTTTTGAGTGGTATGTACACGTGCATATGTATACATGTGAATATATAGTGTAAGAGGAATCATTCCACAATGCTCAACAATCTATTCCTGTGGTTCTCTTCTCACAAAAACCAACAGACTGATCTTAATGAAACTCGTACAAACACTTAGTAGAACAAAGCTGTAAAAAAAAAGAATATTTTAAATTGTTTAAAATTTAATATTTGTTTTGGGTTTTAGATTGAAAAAATTATCTCAGAAAATTGCAGAAAAATTTACATGTGTAGTTTTAAAATACAAAAGATTTAAGTTTTCGGCTTTTTTTTTTCTTAAGTGTAGAAATGGCTACAACTATGGCCATAATTTTTAAAAGGGTGGACCAGTAAGCCAGCAGAAGGTCTCTGTCAGACGACTTAAAGCTCCAATGGTGGGTCATCATCCAAGACCCACATCAGGAAACACTTGTTCTGTTTCCTAAGAAACCTTATGCAACCTAACCTTTTGAAGTGGTCCAGAGTAGGAGGTATGATTTATATCAATGTACTATAAACCCCCCAAATTAAATCTCTAAGACACATGAACGTAAGTTTGAAGCCGACCAAACAAGGCATTCTTCAGTTATCACACAAAATCCAATGAATAGTTCTTTTTTTTCTAATATTTGCATATTAGCAAATTTGCATCTACACAGCCTAAACTTACAGGGTATCATCCTCATCAAATGCATCAACATTAAGGTTTGAAATTAACAGACGAGGTATCCTTGATACTGATGAAAACCAATATACCAATCTAATGAAATTTGCACATGTAGACTTGTTCAGCCCAATAATGCAAAACTTGCACTCAGGGAAACATACCAGAGCTAAAGGTTTTTAGCTGACCAAAAGAGGCATTTTCCAATTATCCTCTTCATAAGATGAAGTGGCCATAAAGATTTGCTTATTGAAGCCATTCAAAAGAAGTACTGTATACTCAAGTACTTTATATTTAACAAAATATATGAGGGAAATATTTCCACAGCTATGCAACTACATACTTCAATAATACACAGCCTTCTTCTATGTAAGATACATCAGTGCTCAATGTTTAAACCCAATCAGAAGAGACTTTTTAAAGTTATCAAACTCATTCCAAGAACCCTGGAATGGTCTTTACTGTATAACACTGACCAGAGGGCACCTGCACATGATAATAGTTGCATGAACCTTCCTCAAGTTATAGTAAACCAGCACTGAAAATTTGAAGCCCATCAGGAAGGAATAAAAAGTTCGGACAACCACTAAAAAAACCTCTTTGGGATGTCAATTTAGTCACTCTTACCTGTTTTTAGTTTTTCCATCCTTACTTTCTCTCACTAAGAGTATAATAATACAAACATGTAGAGAGTAAACAATATATATTCCAGCAAAATTTTGAATGTTCTAAAGCAAAGTTTTGTAGGTACTCATTAAGTAAACTAAGTAGGACTAATGTACTGTGACTCACGAAATCGTAATGACACGATTGCAAACAAACCATACCCCAGCCGGGATTGAACCCGCGGTCATAGTCTCAAAACTCCAGCCCGTCGCGTTAGCCACTAGACCAGCTAACCACAATAAGATTCGTCCAACTAGGTATATTTCTACACCATAGGAAGGTTAGCACAGGCACCACTGTGACCACAAATGGTGTAGAAATATACCTAGTTGGACGAATCTTATTGTGGCTAGCTGGTCTAGTGGCTAACGCGACGGGCTGGAGTTTTGAGACTATGACCGCGGGTTCAATCTCGGCCGGGGTATGGTTTGTTTGCAATCGTGTCATTACGATTTCGCGAGTCATGTTGACGGCAGTGAAGGGACTTGAGCTAGAGCTCGTCACGGCCACGCTAGCTGGAGATTCGTCTGTAAAAACTTGCATCTGTGGTCACAGTGGTGCCTGTGCTAACCTTCCTATGGTGTAGAAATATACCTAGTTGGACGAATCTTATTATGGCTAGCTGGTCTAGTGGCTAACGCGACGGGCTGAAGTTTTGAGACTATGACCGCGGGTTCAATCCCGGCCGGGGTATGGTTTGGTTTTAATGTACTGTACTCCCCACCTGGTATTCCCCTTAAAATATTGTGTTTTTGCTAATATTTTGATTGCTGTATTTCTAATCCTTAATTAACACTTTCTTTACCATTTACTGTTCAGCCTCTATTTTCTTATGAATATTTATTTGTGTAATTACCCATTTGTAGCTAAAGGAGGAGATGGTGTCTCATCTTCAATAATGTGTTTGTCATAATTTTTGTTGTTTAATTTCTAATGACTGTAGTACCTTAGTACCTTTCAAATCACTCCATTAGTCCAATCACTGTTTGCAAACAAAATTTTCCTAGTAGCCCTTAGCTCAACTTTTTGCTCAATTCAAAACTGCAATACTGTACTTTGTTTTTCTTGTTGCAAGTACAGTACTTTCTTACATCCCTGGGACTGTGCCAATATGCTTAGAGTTACATTTACCTCGAGATCTTTTCACAGATGTGCAGCTTCTCTCCCACCATGCTTTACTCTTTATTCAGTCTGGTCTCCCTCCAAATTTCAACCTTGTCATTGTTTGGGTCAAACTCTGAAAGTCACTTGTTTGACCACATTCAGTCTGTTCTTATACTTGTTAGTTTTACATCAGCTTCAAACAAAAACAGGATAACTCCTATGATAAGTCACTCACAATTAAGAACAGTAACAGTCCTAATACTGATCCCTGAAGGACCCCATGCATAACTCTCTCCCAGTCTTTTCTCATTTCTTCCAGTTACTCTCTGCTTTCTGTCATTCAAGTATTCCCTGACTCATTCTGCCTATTCCTATAAATTTTGGACTAATTTCTGGTGTGGTATTATTAAATGCTTTCTTCAAGTCCAAGATAGATGACGTGCCTTCCTTAAGTGAATGTGAACTGACCTGACTAGGTTGGGGCATTGACTTGGTCCGGTGGAGGACTTGGACCTGCCTCTCACGGGCCAGTAGGCCTGCTGCAGTGTTCTTTATTTCTCATAACATTATTTATAACACATTACTCTTATAATGCAATCTACTCAAACCTTCCTTGCTTTATCTCCAACTGCTACAGAATTCAAAGAAACTCTTAGGACAGGATTTTCCAGTCCCAAAACTGTGCTGGTTTCCAGTAAAGAATCTGTTCTCTCAGTGGTGCAATATTCTTTTCCTTATATGCTCCAGAACATTTGACCGTATGCATGTTAAGATACTGGCCTGTAATTCAGTGCCTCTTGTCTGTTCCCTTTTTACATACGTGAACCACATTTTAAATTTTCCAGTCTTCTGGCAGTCTCTCTGATTTGAGAGACTGAAGATCTTTCTTACTGGCTCACACAGTGGTTCAATTTCTTTCTCAGCACCAATGTAGATATACTGTTGGGTTTCAATGCTTTTGTTACATTATGCTTCTTCACTAACCTATCACTACTTTTTTTTTTTGTGGAATCGATGCTTTCTAGCACCAATGTTCTGATATACGTATATGTACAAATGCAAGTGAATATACATTTTTCATGTTGATTTTTAAATTTAGTTATAAATCACTTTCATTTTGATTTGTACTGTTATATATTTACACATTGTTCTAGTGTTTCTGGCTGCCTATGTCTATTTTCTTAATTAGAGAATTTCTTTATTTTCCAGCAGGTCATTTTCTTTTGAACCGAAGATCGAGAGTCTTTTTTGCAAGAAGCATACACAATAATTGCATTTTAGTATATACTGTAGTTATTTTTTATACAATTCAGAGAAAGCAGTGTAAAAGTGTGTGCTTCACTAGGTACAGAAGTGATAACTCAGTAAATTTCTAGCAACCTGAATATAGGCATTCTGCAGTATGAATCATGAACTGAATCTCTGAAACTGAAGTCCTGACATATCTTTAAATTAGTTCACCAGTACAGCTCTCCTTCAGTAAAGCAGTGAACTTTAATTTACTTCAACAAGAAACTAAGTATTTCCAAATAATATATGCCACTTATTTCACTGCTATTATACTGTACATTATTTTCTGTTTGGCATAAACGCTAAATACTTCTTTACCACTGCTTTACTTTAGGAGACAAAAATCCAACAGTAACCAAAGTCCTGTACTTACATTAAAGCGTTTTTCATACTGGAAACGGTTGTAGATCTTGGCAATGCGATCGTATGTTTCATCAGCGATGAACTGGTACTGGTTGTTCAATTTGTCAAGCTGTTGTATGACATTGTCGCCCCCGCTCTGGATGCGAGGCCTCTTGCTTAGGCTCGCGTCCAGACTAGGGTGAACGTCCTCTAGACTGGCCTTGTACTGGGACAGGCGCAAGTCATAGATCTACAGGGGTGTTATAAATTACTAGAGGTTAGTATTGGTTATTATTAGTTAGAAGCGATGTTGCTATTTGAACAGCGACAGAATAAGACTCAAGCCACCAAAAGCAGTTAACAATACTAGACCAACATTATTACGATTACATTATATTTACATGCCAATTCATTACTCTCAGTTATCCTGTAACAGGAATGCATGCTCTGAGTAATGAAAATTAGATTTTATAGAATATACAGGAGATTTCTGAAAGTCACCACCTGAAAAACCTGCAATGAACTGAAGTCAAATGTTTAATAATTAAATTTATGTTTTTTGGTGACAACAGGAGTGCATATACTGTGATATTTGTGCTAAAATGTACTTGTGTGCTTGTGCATATAGTGAAACATACCTTGGCTTCCCGTATGAATCGGCCGCCAAGGGTATTTACATGTTCTATGCTTGTTTTCTTCTCTATAATTTTCATGTACATACTCTGTAAAGAAAATGCATATGAATTAATGGACCTGTAAAGTAAAGAGGTGTTTAATCCCTGAAAAAAAAAAAAGGAGGATTAAAGTCTTGAGTCTTTCTTCTTTGTCCATGGTTGTCCTGAAATATAAAGAGGATTGTGGTAATCCATAGCCTCATTTCTGAGTGGGGATAAGGATGAGGATAATAGGATGGGCTAATTGTAGGTGGGTGGATGTATGGGAAATGTAGGAAATTCTGGTTATGCGTTAGTATTGAAAGGAAATATAGTTGTAGAAACAGAAAAGTACCCTGTTCTGTATTTTAAATGTAAAGGAATCTTCCATTTCCTAGGTTGAGAGATTTATACAAAGGGGGATTTCTTTAAGTTGAAAGAGCAGAATTGTTTAAATGTTGATAGGTCTAAGATATGCTTTAAGTTGGAAGATCTTGACAGAAAGAATGATGTAAGCTTCTTGTTATATAGAGGGTAGGCTTACCCTCAGCCTCTCAAGTTCAAGCTCTGCCTCAGAAGGACCTAGATCTTCAATCTTCTGACTGCGAAGGCCATTCTCCATGTCATTTAGTTCTACCTTTTCTATGTCATGACCATTGCGATACTTTGTAAGAAGCTCGCACGCAGCCTCACAACTTCGCAGCCTGAAAAGTTATAGTCAGTTTAATATCAAGAATGATAGTACTGGATTATAAAACTAAGTAATATTGTACTAAATTATTTCATTTGATCAAAATAAAACAAATACAAGTATTCAGTTTAACAATATACTGACCTCTCAATGATCTGTGAGCAGATGTTCTCCCACCGTATGCGAAGTTTCCTCACATCTTCCTCTAATTTATCAACATCAGGGTGTATCTTTTGACTTGGTCTCGACTTGACAACAAGTGTGTGAACATTACGACATTCTTCAAGAAGACGATCAATCAGTGCCTATGGACAAAAATAAAAAAATATCCTTTATAGCAGCATCTAACCATTAAACGAAACAATCCGAAGATGTTCCAATTGCTTTAAAGTTTTATCAAACTTGTCATATACTAATGTACAATTAATTATATTTCATAAATTAATAAGATATTTTGCAGTTTAAAATTTTTTTCAGTGTGGGTGCAATATTTAATGTGATTAATTTTTGTACAGCATGTACAAATTAGATATTCAGTAACCAGTATCTCATTATAAAATACGTAACTGCTTAGCAAATCCGAGTTCACCGCACTGTACGAAAATGTTTAACCATACCATTAATCTCATAATCAAATTGTATTAGGTGAACAATTCTTGCTAGTATTCACAAATTACTCTCCAAACACTCCCTACTCAAATTACCTGATGATCATGGATAACTTGCTGAATGTTTAGCAGTTCCTGGTGTTCATGTTCCAAGTCATCCAGGTCATCAGGCAGGTCCTGGTGTTCAGCCAACTTCAACTCAATCTCTGAAACCACTTGCGAGCCCTCCTCAATGCCAGTCACTACCATCTCTACACACTTCATCCTTAGAAATAAAAAAATACTTTACAATAATCTGCACACAATCAAGAAATGTCAAAGAACATTAAGAAACAATGCCAAATTTTATAACCTGATACACTGATAATTATACAAGATCTTCAAAATTACGAAAATCATGCATACCTCTCAATGTAAACGTGCGAGAGGGCCCAGATACGATCCCACTGTTGTGTGATGGATTCCACTGTCCTCTGAATAGCTGGTGTACGACGGGACAGGTTCTGGTAGTTCTTCTGGATACTCTCAACCTATTTAAAATTATATATTAACATGTGTGAAGTACTGATACAAGTTTCATTTACCATATGCTTATCATAGATACACTTTCATAAATTCTGAATGCTTTTTTTTTACCTTACACAGTTTAAAAATACCACAACAAAAGGCTGAAAGGTCTAACCCAAGGGCAAACTTACGATGCATTCCAGTCATGAGTACGTCACAAGCTACACACAGACACAACCATTGCAAATTTTAGTGCGTGTTCTTTCATTATTTATAGCCGTCTCATTTAGCTCTTTAAGAAATGCTTACTAATTGGCATAAAAATACATAAGGATGTTTAAATATAAGAACCCATTTTTCTTGTATTAATAATCAATAGGTTCATATTTTTAAGCCACCCTTGTATAACAACCATTCCAAGCACCATACACGAAATGAAAACCACTTAAACCATTTATATATATTTAACAACCTTCAACACTTACCTCCAGTTCATGTGAAGAAAGATCATTTTCAAACTGTTTGTGTTCTATGACCAACTGCTCTAAAAGATCCAGGTCCCTTGGGATGGAGGCCAGACATCTCTGGATGAGCATTTTTTCCATCATATCTAGGTACTCCTTCAAGCTATTACACTGCTCAACCAACACTGTTCCCGGTTTCGGTTCTGTCCAAACACCAAAACAATACTATAGTTACTTTAACAGTGATGGACATGAAGGAAAACTCGAAAGGTGAAATAGAGGGGAGAGTAAAAGGAAGAGGCAAGGATTTGGGATTGGATGAGTACATAAACAGGTCAGTTATTCAGCTATCCAGTGTTGCAAGTTCTCACACGTATAACAGAGGTAACATTTTATTAGAAACCACAAGACCAAACCATTCTCGCATTACTAACACCAAATACATACACATCATTAACAACTTTAAAATTCCTCCCAGTATAATAAAGCCATAATGTTTGATCTACTTAAAATGCCTAAGAACGGTGGAGCACTGCAGTAGGTCTATAGGTACATACTAGACAGGTCAAATTCAAACCTACCTACCCCATCCCATATTTAAAGCTACCTAAATTTTCACATCCATGCTGCTGTTACTACTCGGAGTTTGTTCCGCTCATCTACAATTATTAATGAAAATCAGTAACTGTACTTTCCTGTATTCTTTCTAAATCTAAATTTGTCCAACGTTGATCCAGTACTGAGTCCTACCTTTCTTAGATATTTTCACCACATTTACATTTCTTCTATTTACTCCCCAATTTCCATTTATATATTTCAACCATATAACGCCCCCAGTGGCGTTGGTGTCACCCGGGGCGCCATTTTTAGTGTCACCCCCATGAAATCCATGGGCGGGGGGATGGGGGGGGAATAAATTCCAGTTACCTCGCTACTGCATGACGAGTGACTAATGCTTAGCAATGTGAACGTTTAAGGACCATAAACCGAACAGAATACTTCCCAACTTTGTTAATTATAAAATAATCGTAGAAATATTGAGGAAGCAAACTCAAATATCACTGAGTACAGGCAACAGATCCTACATTTATTCATCTTCAACAATGAAAAAAAAAAACTTGAAAAATAAAGAAAAAACATTGCAATATCAGAGAAACACTAGTTCCGATTTGACCTTTATTACAGGTAACATCTCAGTGAATCTGATCTTACATTTCCTTGCCTTCAATCCTGCAATATCATCTTTCACATCATCAAAATCAATGATTATCCCTATAGGTCTATTTTTACTCTGTAATCATATAAGAGGCTATATAGAAACGAAGGATTCTTCTCTTATGTTGCTGTAACACTGTTTTGAGCATTAGTGTCACCTTCTTTAGAGGCTCTATTTTGTTACTCGGGGTGCCCTCCCCTCGCACTTAATTCTATGGCTTTCCAGAGTATATACAAATTCCGTGCCTTTGTTGGTAAGGTTTCTTGCCATCCTTTTATGTATATTTTCCATTATGTCCATTCTCTAATATGGAAACCAGAATGGAGAATAATAAATAATCTTAACCTATCCTTACCAAAAACAAAGTTGAAGTACAGTACAACGTTAGGACTTCTGTTATTTATACTTACTGATATGAGGGCAAGAAATTTATTAACTATTGCGAACATTTAAGCACTGTTGACCTGGCTTTATATTTCTGCTAACCATAACTTTGAAATCTTTTTCCATGTTCACGCTGACAAAAATTTACATCACTTAGTTTCCAAGCGCCATAGAAGTGTAGAGGGGGAAGGAAGAATAATGTAGGAAAAAATGAAGGGAAAATGGAAGGTGAAAAAGCAACGGGAGAAAAGTGTAGGGATGAGGGGAGGGGACTCGTGAGATCCGCGGTGGGGGAGGGGACTCGTGAGATCCGCGGTGGGGGAGGGGACTCGTGAGATCCGCGTGGGGGAGGGGACTCGTGAGATCCGCGGTGGGGGAGGGGACTCGTGAGATCCGCGGTGGGGGAGGGGACTCGTGAGATCCGCAGGGGGGGAGGGACTCGTGAGATCCGCGGTGGGGGAGGGGACTCGTGAGATCCGCGGTGGGGGAGGGGACTCGTGAGATCCGCGTAGAGAAGTCGAGAGATTGGGGGAAATCGAGCAATGAGGGGGGATGGCGAGTGACAGGGAAGGGGAATTCGTGCATAGGGCATGGAAAAGTAATGGGGGTTGTGATGAATACGTCTTTGTAGGAGAGTGAGCAAAGGGGGTAGAGTCAGAAAGGAAGGTCATGAAAGAGCAAAAATATTTTATTGAAGACTCGTATGAATTACCACCTCTTACTAATGTGTTTCCTCCAAAACCATGACTCTGCAGATTATCTGAGGTGAAGGAAATAGTAGAGCATGTCTTCCCTGCCTTCAACATTAATCGAGTTTAATTTACTCAGACCAACATTTAAAATATGAAGAAAGCTGAAAGAATTTAAGAAATTTGACAGATACCAAATTTTAATTATGTAATAGAACGAATATAATTAACTGTGTAGGGGTGTCTAAAACATTAAAACTAAATGACAAACCTCTTCCCAAATTCACTCATACCCATTCTAATATACCCAAAACACTAGCAAAACAGCTTTTCGTTCACCCGCTTGACTATCAACATCTCTGACTGCCGTATTATGTTGTTCAGTATTTTCAAATTTAGTAAAAAAGTGGCAAAATTGAAGTGCACAGATCAAATTATATACCTTCACCGGATACATCTGGATCAACAAACGAAGAAAAGCCACTTTCATTAAAGCTTTCTGCTGTTTCAAAGAAAGGCTCATCACTGCCTGTGCTTTTTCTCTCCTCGTGACAAGTGCATTTACAGTGTACATTTTTACACACCGCCGAGTCGTCGGATAATGTCACCTTGTGCAAAAACAACACTGTGCCTTCCAAATATTCTCCAACATCTTCGCCAGACTTCTTTAATCTGCACTTAAATATTTTGCCCTGAGTGTCCCATATTTGTCCTAAGACCGTCATATATCCATAAGGCGGAATCATTGTTGCTGACTTTCACAACCACAATATCACAGTTAGATATAGATCACACACCACATTTGGTACATCAATTTCAAGTGCTTTCAACACCTATCCCCTAGAGGTGACTAGGTGAAACTAGAGGTAACGAAGGGCATCAGTGGAAGCACCGAGAATGAGTGCATGACTGGCACCATGGCTGGGAAGGAGCAGCCATGTTGACAACACTCGCTGGTGCTGCCATCTTCTTCGCCAGTGTTCCCATTTTCTCTGGAAATCAATTCGGACTGCAGTGCCTTCTTGACTCTTCCATGGGGATACGATATTCCCTAGGGCGAAACTAAACTAATGCAGAATTTTTATTACATTCAGCTGCTCGTAGCGCAGTGATAGTAATTTTTTAGCGTATTTAACATTAATACAATAAGTACGGTAGGTCGGCACAAATCTACTACAGTAATTGTTACTTGTTTTCTATTATAATGTGTTTTAGTGCATCTATTATTGATCCAGTTACAATATAAGATTCCCAGTTGTCATTTACATACTTTAGATCATTAGTATTCGTTATGTGTTTTTGCAAATATCATAATAACGATTTTCATACATCATGTGAAATATGGAAAATGATCATCCAGACAAAAGAAACCTAGACGCGTCTACAATGCCGCAAGTGACTCACCATTAGCGCGCCTCTCAAACTCGTCGAAAAGTCTGTTGACTTCGTCTATCTCCCTCTTGAGTCGCCTTAGCTGTGGGTCGTTCGGGTCTCCCTCCTGCAGGAGTTTCTCTGCGTCCTCGTTCAAGGCCTTACGGATGGCGTTACGCTGCTCTGCTCCCATCGCTATGAACTGTATAGCCAAAAGAAAATAATCGTGCTCAACACTAAATTAATTTCCAATCACCATAAAAAATATGCTCTTTTAAAAGGGTGCCTTAATGCTGATGGACTCTTCATCCAAGGAACTGAAGCTGTCCCCTCTATCTCTGATCAAACCTGATTACCTCACATTCAGCTGGCGTTGTAAGACCATTATGGATTTAGATCTTCCCCCTGATAATAAGACAAATATGTATTTTATTATTATAATAATGAGGGGGAAGAGCTAAATGCGTACGGGTCATATGGCGCACGGGCAAACAGGTACGATCCAAAGAAGGCGGGGCGGCTCCAGAATTTCTAAGCAGGTGCGTAGGACTGTCAATGGTTGGAAGGGGTGGGGCTCCGCACTTACAGAGCAGGCATAATTTTTACTCAGTGTATGTAACATCGATAAAAATAGCAGTTTCTAGAAATGCTTTCATTCACCCTTTGCATAAGAGTGAGATTACAAGAATAAAATCATACTACCGCGACTGGGGCATTTCACCAATAACCCACACTGAGGAGAGCAAACTTATGACATTTCGGTCCGCACTGGACCACTGCCAAGTCACTACAGGGACGCAAGGAAAGCAGATAAAGCCACAAGACTTGACAATGGTCCACGTACCATAACATTATAAAGTTCCTCTCCTAACTGCGGGTTTTAATTTTAATTTTATTCACATACTTTACCGATTTATTATTATTTGGGATCTTTGGGGAGCTGATGGAAATAATCAGGGGTTTCAGTTCCCCAAGCTGCCCAATGGTGCTGTCATTGGGCGGATAGGATCAAGAACCCCTCATTCAAATCAGGGTGGATTATATATATATATATATATATATATATATATATATATATAATATATATATATATATATTTTATATATATATATATATATATATATATATATATATCAAACTGTGATTTTTTATTTTTGTATTTTAAAGAAAACTTGATTTACCTGGGCCAGATCCCAACTCTTCACAACCTTAATGGTAGCAAAGATCATGTTCTGACGCATACGCAGCTGCTTCTTCTGCCAGAGAGCTATGCAGCGTTCGTACTGCCGCTTAAGCTTTTCGGCAGCGTCAATGGCTTCCTGGTTGGGAGGGGGAATGGTGAAGCAAACGCCTGGCACCATGCCCTTGTTGCCTGAGTTGGTCACCACACTCCACTTGACACGGTTGCTGTTGTCGTGAACTGTGCACCTCTCTCCCTTGTTGATACTCATCTGTTTAAATAAACAATGTCAGCCTTCCCTCACCAGCATCGTTGCCTCAGCTTTTACTCGTCAATATTACTACTTAATTAACTCTCCCGCTACATCATCCTTCACTCGCCAAAATACTAATACAACCTATTAAACCATGCCAAGAAAACGCAAAGGTTCGCAATAAGACTAGCACCAAGAGCTGAGGGGGAAGGTGAATCAGCTATGACGAGAGCCTAAAATATATGAACCTGATGGTGGTTTAGAAAGACACGTAAGCAAACACTATAACATATTTATTAGAAAACGTTTCGGTCCTGGAACCTTGATCACTTCTAACATACAGAGGTAGAAAGACATTATATATATAGGCGGAGAGTGAGATGTGACGCACGTGACCTGAGGAATGTCATAAGAACATAAGAATGGAGGAACACTGTAGAAGGCCTACTGGCCCATGCGAGGCGAGGGTAGACGATGAAATCACGTGACTCCTGTGTTGTTGGGTTGGTGCTGCTTAAGTATCATGTATGCCAATGTTTTTGAAATTTTGTAGTTTCCAGTGTTGCGTTCTATAGTGTCGGTGACGGTGATTAGTGAGGCTTCTAGGCACCGTCGGCGTCTGAGGTCTGGTTCGGTGAGAACGAGTTGTGCCTCGTTCCAGTTCATCAAATGCCCCGTGGAGTCTCTGTGGAGGACACAGGCGTACCTTACATCGTCTCTGTTAGAGGCATTTCGATGCTCATTCAGGCGGACTGCAAGATCTCTGCCTGTCTCGCCTACATATTTCTTGGGACAGAACCCACAGGGGATAGTGTAGACGCCTGCTGTAGAAGTTAGAGGTGTGGGGCTGCGTTTAGTAGGTTCTTGTCCGAACCTGATGGTACTCGAGGATACTTGAACCAGGGGAGACATAACGATATACAAAATATTCACTAACAAAGAAAAATGTGAAGTACTAAAGCATTAAAAGGATATATAATAATACACAAACACCACAGTATAACCTAAGATTAATGGCACCAAGTTGTTTAATAAAATGCAAAGGCCGAACTTTAAAAAAAAAAAAAATGACGCACGGATACAAATTCCTAAACATTATACTCCCCGTGTCCTTTAAGAAAGGAGACAGGAAAAACAGATAGAGAAGGGATGAAGACAGTACAGTTATACAACACGAGACCAGCAGGCTGCCGCCACGTAAGGTTAGCAAACACTTGAGTGCAATGGAACCTAATTTAAAGGAACAGATATAAATGTTTAGAGAATCATAGAAAAATAATTGGGCATCAGGTTTCCAAAGCAGCAAGTACAAGACACAAAAAACAGCGGAGAAAGGAAACAGATGTTTTGAAGGGGAAATTGGACCACCATCTGCTTTAAGTGCTTTTCCAGCCACCTCGTGATTGTTATATAGGCCTGCGAGTAGCAGGCGTCAGGATGTTAACGCAGAAACGAAAGACGCAGAAAAAGGAACTAAAAACAGTTATCAATGTAAGAAGTAGAAAGAGCATATGAACCAGAAATTAAAGTAGCTGAAATTAGAATAAGAAGTGGAAATACAAAGTACAAACAAAAATAAAATGAAATCAATGTAAGAAGCACAAATACAGGAAATAAACAGAAAATACCATAAGAAGCAGGAATGAAAGCAGCAGAAACGAGAGTAAGAAGCAGAAACGAGAGTAAGAAGTAGAAACGAGAGTAATAAGCAGAAACGAAAGTAAGAAGCACAAACGAGAGTAAGAAACACAAACGAGCACAGCAAGCAGAAACGAGCGTAAGGTCTATAAATATACCTAGTTGGATGAATCTTATTGTAGCCTGCTGGCCCAGTGGCTAACGCGTCGGTCTGGAGTTTACAACTCTAACCGCGGGTTCAAGCCCCGCCCGTGGTATAATTGGTTATTCAGCATTTTAAAGCATATTGAATTTTTAAGATCACCATATTCGTACTATTACGAAATTTCTACTGCCCTGCCCAATTCACTCTTATATTACATAAATCATAATCACAAAGAAAAATAATTGAGATTATTTTCCAGATTCGGCAATCTATATTCATAATTCACTTAGTGTCATCGGTTAAATGTCAGCCAATTTAGACAAAGGGGAAAATAGTCCCACCATTTATGGCGAGAGAGATGTGTTGGGTTCTTACTAAGGCAAGCACCCTATAGGGAGAGTGGCACTCCTCCCAGAGAAGAGGCCCTTAGGCACAAACCATTCAAACCCCACTATCATGTTTAGTTGACCAAGTGTCGGTTAAGTCAATGAAATAGAAGCCAGCAGAGGAAGCAGACTAATTTCCTGACTCCAGAAAACTCCCAAGAAGGAAATATGTGAAAAGTAAAATACTTTTCTGTGTTGTATGTCCATGTTTGAAAAGCATGACTATGCATTTTCTCATTTACTCTAGCTACAATATTAGTGTTCTTCTAACGTTTGAGCTGCCTTTGGACACACTATATCCGGCTTCCCTCTTCAAGTAAGACCTACTAATGTAATGCATAACTTTGCTTGAGAAACAAGCACTGAAAATATAACGGACAACTTTACTATCTGCGGAGACGTCAACAAAGTGGCAATTGCCAACCAAATTCTCAAGCGCCTGATGCTTAGCCTTACTTTTCCCGATAACTTGTTTTATAAACATTTAAATCATTTAATATACGAGTATGTAATCCATACCTCATTTCATCAGAATCTTTAACAGACCTAGATTTTTATTACGCTAACAAGTCTTCGGTAAAATTACTTGCATGGGACATGTAAACATATCAGAGTGATATTAACTAATTACATGCATCATTTTGGTAACATCGCATAGTGTGTGTATACGTATACATGTTAAATGCAGACGCAAACTTTTATACAGTACAACTTTATGTAGTAGTGCACTTACATCCATCTTTTTGTAGTTGCAGATTGCTGTTACTGTCGTGGGCTGTCTTAGCGTCTGTCTGCGTTGCTTAAGAGGTACCACAGACTTGGCTCTATTAATGAGCTCGTCCACAGTGGTGTTGAACTGAGCCAGTTCCTCGCGGATGTCCTGCATCTCCCGCAAAAGTTGCTCCCCATCATCAAGACCAAAGTCAGTCACAGAGAACGTCGTGTTTAATTTTTCATCTTGCCTGCAATTTATTGCAATGGGAGATGGGGGAATTATAAGACTAAGAGAAATAATGAGAGTCTGAAAAATGCATATACATGTACATAAGATTCGGAGAAATAATACGAATAAAATTCACTATTAGTTTGAAATATCAGGGAACTTACGCCATGACCCACTGTTCGGCGTTGGCAATGTCTGTGAAGAAGGTGTGGTAGTGGGATGCATGCTGAAGGTGGGTTTCCAGGCAGAGGGTGAGCTCTAGGAGCCACTGCCACTGAGTCTGCATGGCAGCCAGGTAGGCCTCGACTGTCTTGCTGGCCGGGTGGTGCCCGATAACTAAGCTGTTACCACGGTCCTGGACAGCACTAAACTGCACCTCTCTCTTTTCCAACTCGCCCATCAGCTTCTACATAGTGCAACATAGAAAATACATTATATAAATTTAAGTTAAATATGCTATACTATCTTAACATTTAAAGCAGTATATTTTGTAAATGTTAATGAGTAAATAGCAAACATATCTTGCCTCGTAATATCGCTCCACATCACTAATATTAAGACTCTTGTTGGCCCAGTCTCTGTTGAGCTCTTGTTCTTCTCGTTCGTTGAGCCAGATGAGTTCCTGGGTGGCAGCCTGCAGGAAGTCCAGCAGGCTGTGTAAGTCAGACACACGCTTGTTGCTCAGTGATAGCAGCTCAGCATAAATCTTGCGCAGCTGAGACAGCAAGCTGATGTATACCGTGTGTTCTTCACCAGAGAAGTTATTCTTTAAAGCAAAATTATTTAAGATTAGCAAATACAATTAAACAGATTAGGTATCTGCCAGATACTTCATTAAGAATGCAGGCGATATAGTCAGCTCTATTGTTCCATTTCCATTCAGCCGAACTTGCACAAAGTGAATAAAAATAGGTGCGTTCACATTAGTCTAAAATCAATAGCTAAGCTTACAAGTCAGTGAGGAGATTTCAACAGGAAGAAAGAACTTAACAATACGCAGGCAAGATCATGAGGGAGGGGAAAAGAGGGATAGAAAGGTTAAGAGAGGGAAAGGGAAAGGGGAAAGCGAAAGGGAAAGAGAGAGAGAGAGAGAGAGAGAGAGAGAGAGAGAGAGAGAGAGAGAGAGAGAGAGAGAGAGAGAGAGAGAGAGAGAGAGAGAGAGAGAGAGAGAGAGAGAGAAATGGAGGGGGTAGAAGAGAGGGAGACGGGTGCATGTGCGTGTGTGCGTGTTTTAGTTACCTCAGCAGCTGCACACTGGTCTACGTTGGTATGGAATTGATGGATGATCTTGTGCTCCTTCTGGTGACTCTCGTACTCCTTCTCCACTGCCGCCAGGTCGTTGCCGTATTCGCTGTCGTTTAGTTTTTTCTAAAAAAAAAAAAAACAGTCCCGCTCTAGAAACATGCGTTTATATTTTATTACTTTATAAAGCCTCTAATAGGTGAGATATAATAAAACTAGTACTACAGCTAGTTTTTATTTTAACCACTAGTCGACTCACACCTATCTTTTATGCTTTATATCTTCCAACATTTCAATTTTATCATTTTCCATGTTAAAACAATTACAAGTTTCTCAGCAAATGCACACAGCTACTACTTACAAGTTTATCTTTGCACCAGTTGATGCACTCCTGGAGGAATCGGAAGTGTTCGTTTGTTTCCACCAGTCGGGATTCTGATACTATTATCCTCTTCGTCGTAGTGTAGGATTCTTGTTGTGTAAATGATCGGTTGTTTAGAACTATAAGAAGGCGGTTCTCGAAAAGAGTCCTAACACTAACATATCGTTCTTCCAGTTTCACAACCCTGCAGGAAAAATGATCGTGAATCACTTCTCATAAAAAAATCAGAAAATCAAAGTGGCAGATTACAGTTCTAATTACGAGTGCAGCGTATGTTAATATAGCTCACTGTTAAATGAAATCAAAATAAACATTGAAACTAGTGTGCGGATACCGTGGGATGAGCCCACTTGGCCCAACCTCCATGACTTCCTTACCGCTTATGAAGAGTGGGGGCCTCGTGGTACTTGCCCTCCCTCAGGAGCTTCACGTCAGAGTGTAGGGTCTTGATGGTGTCCTCACACTGGGCTAGTTCTCCATCAAGGGCATCACAGTTACGTTTGGCATCCATGGGATGGAGGCGCTCCACTCTCCTCGCCTCGTCCTCTATACGGACTTCTACCTCTTCTAAAGTTACTTCTGTCTGTTTGATTTCGCGATGGACTTTCTCAGCTAGACGTTGAAGTCTATCAGCACTGAAAGTTCAAGATAAATGGAAATAAAAAAAATGAGAGAATGTAATGGAAAAGTTTGTCTCTAAGCATATTATTTTTTTCGAGAATGTCATCGTTGGCCATTAAAAATCCTGTAGCACAATAACAAAGACATGTTTTACCCAGACAAGGAGTCATGCAAAGCGTCGTCCCTCTCCTGGTAGTGGGACATGAGTTTGTTCCACTCTGCGTCGACGTTGTTATAGTGCAGCTCAGGGGTCAGCTCGTCCTCCAAGAAGCCGGTGCCGTCTAGCAGCTTCTGTATCTCGCGGTACAGGCGCTGACAGTTGTTCTTGTCACGGAGTCGAGGTGGAACTTCTTCTTGACGGAATCTGGAAGACAAAAGCTTACCCAGTTAAGATAAAATGCTACTGTATGTATACTATTTTTACAGTCACGAAATATATCTGATTTTCGAAAGAAACAAAAACCACAAATTCCAAGAATGACCTGGTGCTTTCCTGAGCCATTCTCTTGAGCTCGACTGTATTGGAGGGGAAGTGGCGGTCCCTCATGATGGAGATATGTTCACGGATCCAGTGTAGCAGTGTGGTGGCCATCTCTCGGTACTCCTCAAGCTTCCGCTGTGCTT